ATGCTTGCACCGCTCTTGTTTAGCCTGTATATGCTCCCACTGAGTCAAATAATGACAAGAAACCAAATTGCCTATCACAGCTTTGCAGATGACACCCAAGTTTAACAACTACAGCCACATTGACTCCCTCTGCCGATGCATTGATGAAATTAACAGCTGAATGTGCCAAAACTTTCTTCAGTTAAACAAGGAGAAAACTGAAGTCATTGCATTTGGAAACAAAAATGAGGTTCTCGAGGTGAATGCATATCTTGACTTTAGGGGTCAAACAACTAAAAATCAAGTCAAAAATCTTGGTGTGATTTATATGTGCTATATAAATAAACTTGCCTTGCAAGAAACATGAGCTCTTATTTTTTATTTAGTACTGCCCTTGTGAAGCTACATAATATTTTACATATTTACCACTAGATACACCAATCATTCTATTCAAAGGTTTACGTCCCCTTCGTTATAAATACAGTGTGTTTCCGTCTTGAGCATCAGTGAATGTTTGCACCTTTTGTGATAAGTATGACAAAAGATGGATGACAATGTGCAGATGCTGGTAAACCAAAGAATTAACAGCAGGGCCTGGATTTTTCTGATGAACAGGGCAGCTTCACTACTCAAGAAAAAAAAGAGACTTGTGAACAACTATCACAAAAAAATGAAAATTTTAGTTGAGGAAGCAACACACCTTAATAAGAACCAAGGGAATGCAAACTTGTGAACAGAATCCTTTGTGTACTTGTGCCTTATGGCATATATTTTAAATATATCAGGGCATTACTGAATATATATATATTTTTTTAATGCATTTTTTATAGGCTGCTGAAAATTCAGCTTTGCCATGCAGGGATAAATTACATTTGAGAAAGCAGTTATTTAAAATGTTAATAATATTTCACAATATTACTGTATTTTTGATCAAATAAATGCAGCCTTGGTGAGCATAAGAGATATAACAAATACTAATGGATGTGTATTGATGAAGTCTCAGGCTTATGTTTGATAGCAATAATTTATCAGTTACCTCTACAAAAAAGATAATCACTTGAATGACAGATCTTCTTCTTTTTGCTTTTTTCCCCAGTTCCATGGATTTTTTAAGGGCATGTCATTTCCTGTCCTCTCTGTTGCCATTAGCAACTCTGTGGTCTTTGGTTCGTACAGTAATGTGCTGGATTACCTTACTCAGTCGCATCGCAACAACTCTGACCAAAGCAAACAGTCACCACTCACTGCTGTGTTCATGGCCGGATGTTTTTCAGGTTTAGCACAGGCAAGTCTGGGCATCAAGCCAGCAAAGTCCAAAATAATCTAAAACAACACATTGTGTGTCACTAATTTGTGCTAATTTGGTCCTCTCTCGCAGTTGTTTGTTACAGCTCCAATAGACCTGGTCAAAGTGCGTCTGCAGAACCAGACAAATTCAGGAGGAAATAAGTACAGAGGCCCCTTACATTGTATTGCTGTGATCTTAAGAGAGGACGGGGTGAAAGGGCTTTTCAGAGGAATGTGGGCTCTTGCCCTGCGGGACGTGCCTTGTTTTGGACTTTACTTCCTGCCCTATGAGCTGACCTGCAGGTGGCTGACTGAGAAAGGAAAGCAACCAGGTAACTCCATAAATAAATAAATAAATGTATATAGTATATTGTATTTGTAAGTTTATATTTATGGCTGTGCCATAAATATATATATATAAATATATATATATATATATATATATATATATATACATACACATGACATTTTATTAAAAAATTGGTTACCGTTGATATTAACTAACAATGATAAATGCAGTTGTTCCAATACCAATATTAATCTTTTGTAATGTTAAAGAAAGTTGTTCACTGTTAGTTCATGTTAATTCACAGTGCATTCACTAATGTTAACAAGCACAACTTTTGATTTTAATAATGCATTAGTAAATGTTGGAATTAACATTAACTAAGATTAATAAATGCTGTAGAAGTATTGTTCATTCTTAGTTCATGTTAACTAAAGTAAGTTTACTAATGTTAACTAATGAACCTTATTGTAAAGTGTTACCCATGGTATGCTAATTATACCTAATTCCCTTACGGGAAGCTGCAAAGACTCCTGTCGAGGGGCCACACATGAAGGCTCCACAACTCGGGCTGAGGATGCCAGATTGTCCCTCTCGCTTGGGAGAGGAGGTCCTTCCTTAGCGGGATTGGCCAAGAAGCTGCTTACCACAACAGGTTCCACCAGAGTGGGGCCACCAGAAGGACAAAGCACCTGACCTCCCTGACTCGTCTGATGACCAGAGGGAGCAGAGCAATCGGGGGAGAGGCATTCAGGCGAGCATTGGGCCATTCGTGGGCCAGTGCATCTCACTCCTTCAAGAAAAATACTGGGCAATGAGAGTTGTCTTCTGAGGCAAAGAGGTCGACCTCTGCCCTCCCGAAGATATCCCAAATCATTTGAACCTTGGGCGTGGAGTTTCCATTCCCCTTGAGACAAACTGCCAAGGGACAACATGCCCACTCCTTGGTTCAGTTTGCCTGGCACGTGCACTGGCAGATTCCACTGTGCACATAAGAGGAGACATCTCACCATCTTGTTGAGGGACCATGACCTGAGACCACCCTGGCTACTACCGTCATGTTGTCCAAACAGACATGATGCTCCTTTAGTGCCTGTAGGAAGGTTTTTAGGGCCAGAAAAAATGGCATCATTTCCAGGGAGTTGATATGCAGGCGTTGATCCAGGTTGAACCAGGAGCCGAATGCCAGTCTGCCCTCGCAGAGTGCACCATGCACTTCATAAAAGTGTGTGGTGCCTGAGACAGTCCAAAAGGAAGAACTGTATACTGATTAGCCACTAACTTAAACGTGAATCTCAAAAACAGTCTGTGGTGAGGGGTTATCTAGATATGAAAGTAGACATCTTTCAGATCTACCAGTAAGAACCAGTCCCCTGGGCAAACGCGCGTGAGGATCTTTTTCAAAGTCAACATTCTAAACAGGCGCCTCATCAGAGCACAGTTCAGGTGTCTGATATCGAGGATGGGCCTGAGCCCTTCTTTGGAATGAGGAAATAGCAGCTGTAAAACCTGACTCGCTGTTTGCTGGTGAGACAGTTTCCACTGTGCTTTTTTCCAACAAACACTTCTGATTGGAGAACGTGAGCATCGTTGTCCTGGACCGAAGTTTGGATGACACTCCTAAAGCGAGGAGGTCTGTGAGTGAATTGGAGTGAGTAACCTTGTTTTATAGTTTGCAGAACCCAGTTTAACACAGCCGCGATAGCCTGGAGTCGGGCAGCAAGGGGTCTGAGTTTCTCAAATGGCAGATTGCTGCACAGGGGCAGGGGGCTGACATTCGTTGCATTGTGAAGAGAAGTGCTCTTTTTTTGTTATGTGGTCCGCTATCACAACTGTAGTTTGCTTGGGCATGTGCAAAGTAAGTGGGATGGGCCAAGTATTGGCAGTGGAAACAGAGCCTCTATCGCCCAGAGCTGAACGGCGGGTTGTAAGGCAAGCATGAGACTTCTTGGAGGGAGGTCTGGCCTCGGCAGGACTTAACTTTCTCCTCTTCTTCACTGAGAGATCAGGATGGCTTCTGCTGCTCAGGGTCCAACGTCACTTTGGGGCGGGGGCCCTGGCGCTTGGGAAAGAGGTACCACTTGGCAGTCTGAGGGCGCTGTCGGAGCTCAGACTCTGGCTTGGACCAAGGCTGAAGCCTGTGTTATACTTTCCGCGTGCGCGAGTCCTCTAGTGTCCGCTATGGTATGCGTGACGTAACAATTGTCATCGGAGAGTGTGCGCGGAGGCTCGTACTTGTTGACGCGGTCACAAAAAATGGGAGGCACGCGGATGTTCGCGCGTCAATAGGCTACAAAAACACCAACTGCGCATGCGCAGGCTGTGTGAATAATATATATATATATATATTTTTTTTTTTTTTTTTTTTAATAAAGTAAACAATAAAAATAAACAACCAATGCTGATATCTAATGTAGTAATAATAATGTCAATAGGCATTAGATCAAAGTTGGTGGATTTCTGAAATGGAAAATTGAGTTAAGGTGATATTATAGCTCATAAAGGCCAAATATCGTCTGATTAGAATATATATATATATATATATACACATATACATACAGTATATATACATATATACACACACACACACCATATTTTTATGGGAAGATATTGCCTTGTTAACACTAGCTTTAAAAATCTGGACATCTGTAAAAATGCTGTTGGTGAAGAGTTATTATCTTTTGAACATATGAGGTGTTTTCCTGATGTTTGCATATACAAGAAGAATGTCATCAACTGAAATAAAACACTTACCAAACATCAGTTGAGCCACTTTATTTTCGTCCAGTCTTTGCTTCCTAAGCCAGAGACGTTTATTACAACAACACTTTTCAACTTTGCAATCCTATCTTGTGTCCTTCATTTTCTTAGTTTTTCATAAATCCACACCCGCCTGAATCCTTCAAAATCAACCCACAAGCCTGCTCAGTGTTGGACAAAAGAGTTTTGAGGTTGCTCTTTTCCTTTTTTTGAGTTGAGTTGTTTGCTTGTTTTAGGGTTTTCGTGCTGCTCAAATCCATCAGTCTCTTTCAAATAAGCCTCAAAGTCACTTAGAGGCCTTACAATTTTACAAAGAAAACCGTACTACTAAATACATCACTGATGGCTTCTGTGCTCTAGTAAACAAAGGTATAACACCTATCTATTAACATATTTTGAAACATTACCAACTAAAAAGTTGGTAATTTATTTTTCATTGGTCATTTAGTTTTTGGAAATGACTCACTTCCTATCCAAATGGGAATTTGGTTGTAAATTCTGCCAAAGACAATGGTCCTAAAGTATATTTATTAGTATGTAATGAAATATTACTTATTTCTTTAGATTTGATTCATAATTTTATACAAACTATTATTTTCCCATAAGCACCCATTTAAAACTTGCCCAGTGAAAAAAGAAGAAAAAAAAAATCTCAGTGCAATCAGTTTTGCATTTCTGGATGTTAAAATGTATTTTTAATGCCAAAACACTTCATGACCTGAGAAAAAAAAAAATAATCTAATTTGTACAATCTATAAATGAACCTCCTGTATGTTATTTCTTTGTTTTAACTTTCAACCAATTATTAAATTGCTAATTTAAATGACAAATGCCGGTCTAAACGAGACGTTGCAGCCTGTCATGTGAAATCACACAATAGAGTTTAAGTCAGTATGTCTTCAAACACCTTTCTTAATATCCTGGTCCTGTTGAAACTGATGGCTTCCCAAAATCTCTTTCATATTTGTCTCAACACATACACATATCATCTTTAAAAACATTAGATTTTTCTGTGCATGTTCCCATTCTCTGTTTGGTCTCTGATTTTGTAACGTCTGTGTGTGGTCATGTGACATTAAGTGCAGTTCTTTTCTCTGTTGTTTGCATGTCGTCCTCGTGTTACCGCAAGATTACGGTCCAGTCTGCCGCTGCGTTGACCCCTGGCTTACGTAGAGTCAAAACTGCAAGTGTAGAGTCAAACTCAAACTCTAAAGCCGACTCTGTACCATCTGAAAAAAAATAAAATAAAATAAAATAACTATGTTGTGCAAAATCAGTGGTTCTCAACGGGTCTTACTTCAGGACCCAAATTTACTTCGGACAACAATGGCGACCCAACACAGTACCAAAAATGTTTACTGTAAAAAAGTGGGGAAAAAAACAAACAAACGTAAATGTATTTTTATTACCATGAGCTGCATAAACCCAACAACAACATATGTCCATTTAAGTACAATTGTATAAATGTTTGGTTTTTAAATGCTGTCAGGTGCCAATAAATAACTGCACTAAATGCATTGTTGACAGCACAGACTATTATCGTTGCTGTACACGAACCCATATTTAAAGGGACAGTTCACCTAAAAATGACAATTCTGTCATCAGTTACTCATCCTCAAGGTTTGGAAACAAACAGTTGGAGGAAGCCAGTAACTTCCATTGTATGGAAAAACAAATACTACGGAAGTCAATGGCTACCATTCGGTCACCAACATTTTTTTAAATATCTTTTGTGTTCAGCAGAAGAAAGAAATTCATACGGGTTTGGAACAACTTAAGGGTGACTAAATGATGACAGAATGTTAATTTTTGGGTGAACTAGCCCTGCGTCATATTTTTGCGACATATTTTGTTCAAGTGTGCTGTAGTAAAGTTTTATCAAATGATGTATGCATTTAAATACATTGGTTGATGATATCGCTATCTCATATTTTTTTGATCACATAGGCATTGGACATTAAAAACATACGGACAGCATTTTTAAACAAGCCTGTTATTTGAATAGTTGTTAGATGCATGATAGAAGCCTGTGAGAATGCCAAAGCAGATTGAGTGACATTAGCAGATGCTTCGACCCATAGACACTTCAGGAAAAACACCAGCCATTTATCATAAGAAAGCCAACCATATTAGCAGTAAAGCACTGTAATATATCAGTGACACTGACCTGCGTTTTTCAGAGTAGCAGAGGACGGTTGACTGCCTCCAATGATCACAATCTTCTCTATCCAAGACGCAGTGGAAAACTGGGAGTCTGGGGCCAGATTTCTGAGGAAAGAAAAATGAAGAACAGAGAGATGAGAGACCAAAAGATAAGAAACAGCATGGCAATGCCGTTTTTAACAGCTGTAAAGAAAAAGAGAGCAGACCGACCTGGAAGACAGCGTGTTGGCGGAGAAAGACAGATGTCTGTGGACAAACTGCTTTGCTTTTTCAAAGTTGAAGGTATGGAAGTCATCGATGTACAGCTCTCCTTCAGCAGAGCCCTGAAGCACAAGACAGCAGTCAGCGTGAAGCACTTACTATACACGGATGAAAACAATCCATCTACAACGTCAAGCATGTCACATATGAATACATGCATATATGTAGACACATGCATTTTCTGTAAAGCTGCTTTGAAACAATGTGTACTGTGAAAAGTGCTATACAAATACATTTGAATTGAATATATACATAACAGGATATGGATTTACCTGAGAATTGAGGGCAGCATAGAGAGTGTATGGGTCATTCTCCATACAAGACGAAGATCTCCTAACTCGGTCTTTCCTGCAGATAATGGACCCTCCTCGCTGGAAAACTGGGATCTGGAACACGAGACGCCACGGACAGAAAGGAAGGATTTAGCTGTCTGATTAAAAGACTAAAACAAAATATAGCTGAAGGAAGCAATTATAGAAAACCATCACTGAAATAAGTGCATAGGAAAACTTTGGAATGCAAAAACAAAAACACAGTCTGTTCTAGCCCCTAGTTTTGCAGTCGGTCTTTAAAAACCAATGGAAAAGTCAGAAAGTGAAAACGTCCGGGCTTACGGAGCTCATGGTGACAGGAATGTAGAGGCTCTGCTCCCCATCATGCTTCTGGAAAGTGTGAACATCATACCAGACCTACAAGAGCAACCCAGAGGAAGAGACTGAGACTTTAGAGATAGTGGTCGACCGATATAATACACGTAATTACAGTAAATGAGAGACATGCAGAAAATTGGTGAAACTAAATGAACATTTATTATGCATAAATATGTATTAAAACAAATTAAAAAATGTTAACAATTAAGGTAACAATTAGTGCAGCCTTTCCCTTTCTTTTGCTCAAACATCTAAAAAAACAAAAAAAACAATTAAAATGTAAACAACAGAGGTAACAATTAGAGGGGTCATATGATGCTGCTAAAAAGAACATTATTTGGTGTATTTGGTGTAATGGAATGCGTTTATGCGGGTTAAGGTAAAAAACAACAACATTATTTTCCACATACTGTACATTAGAGGTCTACACGGAGGACCCGAGACCCGACCCGGGATCCATACGGGTTCGGGGCTATATTTGAAATGGTCAGCCGGGTCTGGGTCCTTTTTGAAACTGGAATAATGAGTGGATTAGGCATTTCAATTAGCAAGAGAGGAATAAGATCATCGGCCACACGGAAAGTCTTATCGGCCGATATTTAAAAACTTCCAAATATCGGCCGAGGCGATATATCGGTCGACCACTATTTAGAGAGACTTGGAGATGAAAACCCATTCAGGTTGTTCCATTCAGTGTTGAAAAATACGTTACCTCTCCTTTCCCCGGCAGATAGGCAGTAACAGCAGTAGCACCCTCATCAGTGACGGGATGCACCAGCAAATCCTTCCCTGTGAAGAGAAATAACCCTGTGTTAGCCGTCTCTGCTGCAACATTTATTTGGACTAATTAGAACTCATGTTTAAAAACTCACCGATCAAGTACTCATCCTCGACTGAGAAAGTGGCGACATCATCGGGATACTCTACCCATAGAGGTCTGTGAAATGATTATTAGCAAAATGGATCGCTTACTTGCATGGCATCTGCCCTTTGTTGTTTATGATAAGCTTAATTCACAAGAGTGCAGAATCGATCTGTTGAGCGCATGCACCGAACAAAACTCCAGCGTTTTCAGAGCGAACTAACTTAACAGAATCTTGTGTGATTGATTATAATGCTCAGTGATGCAGAAAAGGAAATCTGATGCAACATGAGCAGCTCTGAATGTAATGCTGCAATCAACACTTCATTGATGTTCACATTTCACTTTAATCACGAAAGCCATAATACATTTTTTCCCCCTTACACTGAATTTGGGGGGCATTATTGCTCATTTCGGTGGCATGTTTGCCCCAAGCCCCAGTTAATTCCCGGCCCTGATTGTCTTGGGCTGGCTCACCTCATAACAGGATATCCAGTGCGGTGTGCGTTGTAGAAAAGCTGGTACCAGTACGGCAGTAGAGCGTATCGCTGGCGTATGGCCTCCCGGATGAGGGCGGTGTTCTCGGGTCCGAACAGCCAGGGTTCCCTGCGGGGCGTGTCTATGTGAGCATGAGCGCGGAAAAACGGCTGGTAAGCTCCCGCCTGGTACCATCGCACCAAAAGCTCAGCGCTGGGATGTTTAAAGAAACCGCCAACATCAGCTGAGGGAAAATAAGACAAAGGTACAGCACTAAATTAAAAGCAATCATAAAGCAACATTTAAAGGTTGCCAGCAAACAACTGAGAGTAATATACACTACTGGTCAAAAGTTTGGAAAGTTTGAGGCTTTTATGCTCATCAAGGCTGCATTTATTTGATCAAAAATACAGTACAAGCAGTAACATTGTGCAATATTATTACAATTCAAAACGTGTCTATTAAGTATCTTAAAAATGCAATATTACACACTTCAGTTATTCTCATTTACAGACTAAAAATGTTGTTGACTGACACATAACAATAAGTTTGTGTGTAGTTTGTGATATTACATTTACATTTAGTCATTTAGCAGACGCTTTTATCCAAAGCGACTTACAAATGAGGACAACAGAAGCAATCAAAACCAACAAAAGAGCAACAATATATAAGTGCAAATGACTCGGTTAGCCTAAAACAGTACACGTAGCAAGGTGTAAGGTGTGTGTGTGTGTGTGTGTGTGTGTGTGTGTATATATACACACACACACACACACACACACACACACACAAAGAAAAACAAGTAGATAGAATAGAAAAAATAGAAAGCTAGAGTTAGTTTTTTTTATATATATAAAAAAGAAGATAGATAAAGTAGAATTAAAACAGAATAGAAAGTGCTAGAGTTAGAGGGTCAAATAAAGGTGGAACAGATGTGTTTTTGGTCGTTTCTTGAAGATGCAACTACTGATATCTGTATAGAATGACATACAGTCTCAACATTATCATCAAAAGCTCCTACAATAACCATAATTTAGCTTTAGCTCATTTATGCCAGGACAAAAATGTTATAAAATATTTATATTTATAAAAAAAGTATTATATTGCATCACTATTTTGTGCGGAGTATAAGCATCCTTTCTGTATATTCAATTATTATGCACTAAAATGCAACCGTGGCAACACGCAAAAAAAAACAAAAAAAAAAACACAAAAATGCCACAAATAACATCATAAAATGTCCTGGTGGGAGTGATTTAAGATATCAGATTCAGCAAAGATTCATAGAGATTCATGAAATAAATAAATACTTCTTGTTTTCTAATTCCATACATATGTATTTGCATTTGTACTGCATAACAGTTTGAGTGAAAACATTTTTTTAATAAAATTAACAATAAATCTCATACTGAGTGAAACAGATTTTTTTTTTTGCTGTTAATTAACAAGTGACTTTAACAAGTTCTCTTTTGGTGGCCGTTGTTTAAATGTGTGCAGTCTTGTTTACCCATTGAACATCATTTCTCATCTGCATATACTAAAGGTTCACTAGAGGAACTGCTCACCTCCACAGAAAGAGATGCCCGCTAAGCCCAGACTCAAGCACATGGGGATGGAGATCTTCAGATGACCCCATTCAGCGGCGTTATCTCCCGTCCACACCGCACCTGAGCCACGGAGAGAGGGATTGATCACCAAACGCTCCGGTACAAACACACCAGGCTTGTGTGTGACGTCTCACCGTAACGCTGGGATCCAGCAAAGAACGCCCGGGTCAGAACGAAAGGTCTCTCCACACCTCCTGAACGCTCAACCAGGCCGTCAGCGGTCGCCTTTTGCTGGTGACACAAAAGTATTGTTATGAAAGAAAAAAAGAACTTTGGCCTTCTCAGTGTCACACATGCCTCTCACTATTAAGTCTTTTAACACTGAGTGTGTGTGTCTCCATTTTAACGCTTTATCCATGTGATTCCTTAGGAGACTTTTAACCGAAAACGTGAACTCTGAAGGATAAAGGCTTATCAGGTCAGATTAACTAGTCACACTGATAGCGGGCCAAGTTGTCTTGTGAAAAAAAATTAAATAAATCACTGACGTTAGGAAATATCCAACCTCAGGGAGTTTGTGAGGCCTAGCTGTGAACAAAAAAAAAAACACTCTCATGCCTATTTCATACTTTTCATATTCTTAGCAAATCAAACCTTAATCTGCCTGTTTTTCTGGGTGGGTGAATCTTTAATATTTTTTGAGAATATGATGAAAATCACCATTGAGAAAATTGAATTCAAAATAAAAATGTCCAGACACATTATACTAGTGAGAATTTTACTAATATTAAAAATACTTAAAATTGGCCAAATTAAGCATACATTTATAATAATAATTTCATGGTTTTCATAATGACCATCTAAAACGATTATAAATAAATGCTTAATTTTGCTAATATTAAATATTTGTATTTCTTCTAATTTTGGGGTTAAAATGTGGCCTGGACATGTGGACATATGAGAGATTGACCAGAGCAATAATGTTGCAAATGTTTTTTGGAAACAAGTAGAGATGTAACAATTCACGATGCGATACGATTCATGATACTGATTTCACGATACGATTTTCAAAATGAGTTTTAAGTCAATGAAACGTGCCCTTTTCTCTTAGACAAAATGCTACACATTTCCTTGTGATATTGAAATATGTCCAAAAACACAAAACTAAATTGAAATTTTAAAACAAATCCCAAATCAAATAAATAAATACACAAATAAAAAATAATCTCTTCAAATAAACAAACTGAGGCTGTGGTCTTTCCATTTACAATTAGAGGTACCAATAGGGCTGTTAGAAAAAAATATATAATTTCGAATATTCGTCAAATTTAAAATAAAAATTAGAATACGTTGCATTCGAATTTTAGGTGTGCGTTAAGGAGGCAGCCTTATCAGTGGCGCACGAGATGCAATAACGATGTAAGTGTCGTTGCATTTTAATGTTTTTGTTAGCCTGTCCAGTTGAAGCCACTAGATTGTAGCGTTGTTAATTACAAATATTGCGGGAAAGAGAACGTCAATGGGGAGGAGATGTTGTTTACGACAAAACTGAAACCAAGCCGTTCACACAGAACGCATTTTCTAGAGGGACATCTATCACCGTTGCACTCGCGTCTCGCACAAAAGAAGCCGCATGTTTAGAAAGCCATGTAAAATTAATGCAAGTTCAAACATATCTCGACATAACTTAATTATAATTGGTTTATAAACATTATGCACTTTTTTTCCCACAGATAGTCATAAACGTGCATTAGTAATATTTTGCTCGATGCACCCTCTTGTGGCCTCAGGAGAATATAATTCGAATTTTGATAATATTTGAGTAAAAAATTCTAATTTAGTTTTTCAGCCATTTTGACAGCCCTAGTAACCACTGTATTTTAATCACAGTCCTAACAAAGATGCTGCATACATGCATCACGAGCAGTTTTTAATCAAAATTAGACTGTATATACTTAAAATTGGCCAAATTAAGCATACATTTATAATAATAATTTCATGGTTTTCATAATGACCATCTAAAACGATTATAAATAAATGCTTAATTTTGCTAATATTAAATATTTGTATTTCTTCTAATTTTGGGGTTAAAATGTGGCCTGGACATGTGGACATATGAGAGATTGACCAGAGCAATAATGTTGCAAATGTTTTTTGGAAACAAGTAGAGATGTAACAATTCACGATGCGATACGATTCATGATACTGATTTCACGATACGATTTTCAAAATGAGTTTTAAGTCAATGAAACGTGCCCTTTTCTCTTAGACAAAATGCTACACATTTCCTTGTGATATTGAAATATGTCCAAAAACACAAAACTAAATTGAAATTTTAAAACAAATCCCAAATCAAATAAATAAATACACAAATAAAAAATAATCTCTTCAAATAAACAAACTGAGGCTGTGGTCTTTCCATTTACAATTAGAGGTAACCAATAGGGCTGTTAGAAAAAAATATATAATTTCGAATATTCGTCAAATTTAAAATAAAAATTAGAATACGTTGCATTCGAATTTTAGGTGTGCGTTAAGGAGGCAGCCTTATCAGTGGCGCACGAGATGCAATAACGATGTAAGTGTCGTTGCATTTTAATGTTTTTGTTAGCCTGTCCAGTTGAAGCCACTAGATTGTAGCGTTGTTAATTACAAATATTGCGGGAAAGAGAACGTCAATGGGGAGGAGATGTTGTTTACGACAAAACTGAAACCAAGCCGTTCACACAGAACGCATTTTCTAGAGGGACATCTATCACCGTTGCACTCGCGTCTCGCACAAAAGAAGCCGCATGTTTAGAAAGCCATGTAAAATTAATGCAAGTTCAAACATATCTCGACATAACTTAATTATAATTGGTTTATAAACATTATGCACTTTTTTTCCCACAGATAGTCATAAACGTGCATTAGTAATATTTTGCTCGATGCACCCTCTTGTGGCCTCAGGAGAATATAATTCGAATTTTGATAATATTTGAGTAAAAAATTCTAATTTAGTTTTTCAGCCATTTTGACAGCCCTAGTAACCACTGTATTTTAATCACAGTCCTAACAAAGATGCTGCATACATGCATCACGAGCAGTTTTTAATCAAAATTAGACTGTATAATTTCGAAATTTGAAGCAAAAACAGAATGGTCTGATTTTAGCTTTATGAAACTATACTACATAAAACACACCTGCACGAAACAGAATCAGCAGAAGCTCTGAATGAGCCGCAGATTCACTCTCTGACAGCAGGTGGCGCTCATGGAACAGCAGATACAGTGTTTCTTTATTGATTATCGCTGTAAACAAAGCAGTGCTGCGCTAATAAACACTACTGTAATATGCATTATACAGAGATGAGATGAAAAGAAAACACCATCTAAACTGTTCTGAAGACAGTAAGTTCCTCTCAGAGATACAGTCATATAAACCCCAACACCAACTGTATCACGATTCGTTTAACATATCAACAGACTTCAATCCTCACATATTTGCATCGATTTTCAACCGGCTCGGGGTGCGTCGTTACATCCCTAGAATCAAGAACTTATGTGGCTACAGAAAAACTGAAATAAATAAATAAAAACTGATCTCTCACCACATAGAGGCCATAAAGGTTGTGAACGTCTCTGTGCTCCCAGCCTCCATGAAGAGCATCTTTGTGCATGGTGACCTCAGGCCCATTAAACACAGACGGCTCGTTCATGTCATTCCACACGTACTGATTCTCCATGGAACCCTGGACAAAGCCACGTGGGATTTAATAAAAATACAATCCTGAAATCATCAATATCAACACTTGAATTCTGAAAGACAGTCTAATAAAAAGCCAGGGGTAGCAGCTGTTCAGAAAGCCCTCACCTCATACTGCTCATAGGCAAACTTGCTGGCCCACCAGGCTCTCATCTCAGGGTTAGTGAAGTCAGGATAGCCCGAATTCCCTTCAGAAGAGAAAATAATGCTCTGAAGAGTTCATCACACTGACTTTAACAGGCAGCTGGATGAGTAGCTACACACCTGGCCAACACCAGCCTTCATAGTCTCCTCCATCTTTGTTCTTGACATAAAAGCTTTTGGAGAGAATCTCATTGTGAATCGTATAGCCGCTGTCCACCCTAATGTGAGGATCTACAATGGCCACTAGCTGAAGAGACAAAAACACTAATGATTTTTGGCATAAAGGAAAATCTATGATTTTGACCCATACAATGTATTTTTGGCTATTGCTACAAATTATTGCTTTTGTGCTCCAGGGTCACATATATTTTTGAAAAATATGAGGGTGAGTAACTGATGACTGAGTGAACTACACTTAAGTTTACAGAAATGTGTTTCCCAAGTTTAGCATTAACACCGTATGCAGAGAAGTGTGCGGTGGAACCGTTCCCTGTGTGTTTGTGTACCTGTAAGTGAGGCATACTGAGTGAAGACATCTGCAGGTTTTGGTCCCAGCATGATAAAGACATCAATAATACCACTCTCAGATATCCAGCGTACATCCGTCTGAGGAGCTTCACTAGAAACTTGTACGGAGTCCAGTATTTTCCCAAACATCATCTGAAATACGAACACACATTTAAGGGAATTCTTCTAAAGCATTTGAAGAAATGCACTGATACCAAAACTGATTCACTTGATCAAACTAATGTTAACATCGGACAATACTGCAATGCTCCCCAGTATATCGTGCTTCCCTAATTTGAACCTTGTCAACCAAAATCATTCGACATCGTACCAAAAACAATTAAAGGGCAGGTTGCTCACTCTCACCTTTCCTGCAGTATTTGAGCTGATGTCCACCCATGTCTCTGCTGCATTGAGCCAGAAGATGCCCATGGTGCGGTCAGTGCTGTGAGATATGAGGACAGGAACTGCCCCATAAAGAGCCATTGGGTTGTGTAGCTCATACTGAAAAACATCCAAGTTGTACAGCCGATACGGGTCTGATCCACTAAGAAAAACAACACAATAACTGTTCAGTGGAACACTACGGTTTAAGTGAGTTTGTGTCAGCATGAGAGTGCTAAAACTAAGAAATGATAAGCTGTTGTTTCATAAAAATGTTCTTCTTTTAACCATTTTCAATGTTCAGTTTAGATTTGGCTGGTGGACAGCAAGACTAGCAGCAAAACCAGCAATAATCACCCTGGACCAGCATCAAAATTCGGTCTAGATTTGAATTCACATCTGCATTTGAAAAGTCACAGTTCGCTCAAAAATGAAAAATTGCTGAAATCTACCTCAGGCCATCCAAGATGTAGATGAGTTTGTTTCTTCATCAGGTTTGGAGAAATGTAGCACTGCATCAGTGTCTCAGCAATGGATGCTCTGCAGTGAATGGGTGCCGTCAGAATGAGAGTCCAAACAGCTGATAAAAACATCACAGTAATCCACACCCCTCCAGTCCATCAGTTAATGTCTTGTGAAGACAAAAGCTGCGTGTTTGTAAGAAACAAATCCACCATTAAGATGTTTTTAACTTCAAACTGTTACTTTCAGCTAAAATAGGAGTCCTCTAGCCATAATAACGCTTCCAGTGAAAAAAAGTAATGTCATTTTAATTAGAAGAGAAATTTGCACAGCTCAAGCACCGTTTACAAGCCAAAACAGCTCTAAACAAATATGTGG